TTGGTAAATTCAGTCAATAAACCTTGTATAAGTTTTTCCGAGGAACTGGCTGACAGTAGAAGTTAATATGTTAATAACATATGGCAACTGTTCAACATATGTTTTGTGTCATTGTTTGATATTTTTGGTTGAGTTTTTGTTAAAATAGAAATACACAACCTTTCATGAATTCGTCGGGACCACATAAGTTTGCAGTTGGTGGCAGCCAATCACAAGACAAGGCTAGTGCGACGTTGCCACATCGCCCGTTGACAACACTAATTAAAATATACTAAGCAATATATTAAAATCAGCTGGTTTTCACAGATTTGGCAACACCGCACGGTTCTCATTGATTCATTCAAAACCATATGGTAAATAGGCTCCTCCCTCAACTGCAAACTTTCGTGGTCCCGACAATAATTATCAATTTAATGACATGGTGCCGAAACCCACACGGAATAGAAATAAAAGGTATGACTTTAAGGAAGATGATGATGATATCCATACAAACCATACAGAAGACAAGGATAATAATGTAAAACCACAAAAATGTCTTGTGGTTTCAAGTACTCAGATGGCTCCTTATTGGAAGAAATGGAAGCAACAGTGGAACTGGTACTACAAAGCTTCTGGCCTTGATAGGAAATCAAATGCAGTACAGGCATCATTTATGTATAGTTTAGGCCCAGATGTTATAGATATATAACAGTTTTGGTTTCATTGATGACGAAGATATTGAATTAGATGAAGTTGTTCAACGATTTGATAAGTTTTTTGTTGGTAAATCCAATGAAGTATTTGAGCGATTTTTGTTCAACAAAATCACCCAAGCAATAAGAAATTGTACAATAAGTTGAGAAATAACATAGTAACTAGACTAGGCCTAATGAGAAGACTGAGAAAATACTACAGGTTACAAAAGTAAAAATGTGTTATCTCTAAAAGGATAAAAGTCCGATGTAACTTGATGTCGAGTTAGTAGGTGGTGGCTTTAACACTAATATAATAAGACTAGGTGAAACCCGTCGAAATCGACGGTTACTTTCAAGGCTTACGTTAATCTATACTTATTTAATACGCAAGCATGTTTTTTGTGACAATTACTCCTCCGAAACTACTGAACCGATTGACATGTTTTTGGTGTCATTGGAAAGAGCGTAACGTGAAGTTGTGCAGGAAACTTTCTTTTTAGGGAAATAATCAGAGAGTGAGGCCCTAGGGCCCTTTAAAGTTTCGTATTTCTCCATAAGATTAACATGGGAAACAAAAATTGTTATGCAACTCCAGCTGTTGGCAGAAATTAAAAGTGAGAAATAGAACATATGTTGCTAATTTATCAGTTTGCTACAAACATTTACTGACTTGGTTGAAATGAAATACATATTTACTATTTGAATTTAGGTTGGCGTAAATATTACAATGGAAAAAAGCGAGAGAACCTGGATAAATTGATATATTCTGTTATGTACATTTTGAATATTTCCATAATCTTAGTTAGGGTTGAATCTTTTAAAAATATCAGAAATTATGACCGTTATTCCTTTTAAAATAACTCCTCTAATACTTAAAAAATGCTCGAATTCGAGCAAAAGGGACACTAGTTAATCTAATTGCGATAAATTGGGTGAAATACATATATAACATATACTAGCTGTAACTCGCGGGCTTTGTGCCGTTTAACTTCTTAATTTTCAAGATTATCTCGTTCGCATGGCTCAATCACGTCCTGGTTGAAGTTTGTTCGCTACGCTCACTCACCTTTAGGTTGGAGCTCGTTCGCTACGCTCACTCACCTTTAGGTTGGAGCTCGTTCGCTACGGTCACTCACCTTTAGGTTGGAGCTCATTCGCTGCTCTCACTTGCCTTCAGGTTAGCTCGTTCGCTACGCTAACTCGCCTCCAGGTTGAAGTTCGTTCGCTACGCTCACTCACCTTTTGGTTGCAAATTAGCTGTTGTCACAAATGTAAAAGAAATAATAGTGCTGCAGTTGGTAATCCTTGTAACTTTAATGCTATTAAACATCATAGAACAGAACCAACTTGTTTAATTGAAACAGCTGTTAAGATTCAATAATTATTCCATTTCTCATAAGGTTAACATGGGAAACTCCAGAGCCACTGGGGTGGAGCCCGAAAGGATTTTTGAAATAAGAATATGCCTATATGTTAATCGGGAATGGGAGCTATCATCATGCCAAATTTCAGCCCAATCCGCCCAGTATTTTTGGCGTTCACTTGTCACAAACATACATCCATACATCCATACATCCATACATCCAAACTTTCTCATTTATAATATTAGTAGGATAGGATATTGAGCATTTAGCATGGTTTAAAGAGTAATAAGTAACATCTTGATTAGCAATGTGTAAAAATAGAGTAATAAGTGTAAAAACAATAATGATATTAATTGTGTTAGTTGCCAAATTTGGTTGATCATTCAATGAATAAAATATTCCCCATATCGTACGTCATAGGAGCTATTATTAGTATGTTAGTATGTTATATGGTATCTCTTCCTTCGGAAGAACCTTTAAGTAGTATTAAAATCGTATTGGCAAATCTTTTGTAGTTAAACACTTCCGTGATTTCATCAGTGTAATATGATTTTATTTGAAAAAAAAAATATTTTTTGGGAAGACATATTCTAACTTCAAATGGAGGTATATCCGTTACAGTGTAAGTTTGATTTTTCCTTCGTCACGTCGCGTTAGTTCATATCGTACTTCTGTGCCAATGAATGAACCCTCTAGCACAGTTTTGAGAAATTGATTTTGGGGTTACTGTTTAAGCTGGAATTCCTTGACATGGGGGATGTCAGTTAGTTGTCTCAGCCTTATCAATAACATAATGTTGTCAATATAATCTCTCTATGGAATGTTTGGTGTAGTGGAATACTTGAAGTGAAGTTGGCTTTTATTCTTGAACTGTTAGGGGCCTCCTAGTTCATATAGTCTTGCGGCTTCATTGGCAACAAATAATGCAAATGACATAGCAATGGGACATTACCAAAAAACCAAAATACTGTAAATTGGCAGTTACGTAAATTTTGACGTTTACATATTGTTAATCAACGTATCTTATAAAGGATTTTGTGATATAGTTTAAAAGGGATATGATCTTTCTGTCATGACAGTAGCTGCTTAAATAGTATTTTCTCTTTGTACCTCATTTTTTACAGCCAAAATGTCGTGTTATTTTTCAATGATGTTACCTACCCAGTGTGCCAAAGTCCGTAATATAGGCAGGTGCAAATAATTTGTCAAGGTGGGTAAAATTTTTGGCAAGGTTTCTATGTTTGGATATTATTAGACACGATAAGAGCAGATATTTCTACATAAATATTTGATATGTGTAGAATAATATGATAAAATGTAGGCAAAAGTGGTGAAAAAGGCAGACACCAACCCGTACAATAGATATAAGATAGTTCAATAAGAAATAATTTAAGAATTGCTGTGATGAAAGGATTTTCCACTGATTTCGTAATGGAACGTTATATGACATGATAAAGAAGAAAATCAATTTTTAAATCAGAAAATAACATTGCTAATACTTATTTGGTCGAATCTTTGACTATTAATACAACAACTTCTGTATCCAATAGTCAGTGGTAGAATTCACTAACTCCCAATAAATGTTTGTTGTTTGAAATACAATTTAAAAATGAACAGCTGTTTCATTAAAAAGTATTATTCACATGGCCAAAATATAAACAAATCTGTGGAAGGATCTTTAAAGGATCCTGGGGCAGAGCCCTAAGGGATTTTGTTAACTTCATTGTGGATGTAGCCTCCGGATTGCCAAATAATATTAAAAAGGTTTAAATACCTGCTATTAAGCAATCCATTTAATTGCAGTTGCAACTAGTTTCGACTCCTATGTGGAGTCATCATCAGGCGGTACAAGGACTTCTTCTTTCTTCACATGAAGAGCGTCATATTTAACAAGTAAAAATAAATAAACATTTACACACGACACAAAACACGTTACGGACACGAAACATTTACTGATCAGTTACGACAACAGACGACGCTAACCCGACGGAGTTTAGCTAAACTCCGTCGGGTTAGCGTCGTCTGTTGTCGTAACTGATCAGTAAATGTTTCGTGTCCGTAACGTGTTTTGTGTCGTGTGTAAATGTTTATTTATTTTTACTTGTTAAATATGACGCTCTTCATGTGAAGAAAGAAGAAGTCCTTGTACCGCCTGATGATGACTCCACATAGGAGTCGAAACTAGTTGCAACTGCAATTAAATGGATTGCTTAATAGCAGGTATTTAAACCTTTTTAATGATTTTGTTAAGTTTTTCTTTTGATAACTCATCTACAGACCAAGACACCCCTACCAAGTTTCTACGAGCCTGTGGGGCAAAGCCCGAGGATTTTTAATACATGAATTGGTGAAAGGGGGCGTCTACACAAAATATTCTTTATTTTGACACGTCGTTTGTAAAAATCCGTCCATTATTAACGGAGGAGTAGTGTTTCGTGGAAATCGCCTTCACGTATTATATATAAGGATATATAAGAAGATAGATGGTAGATGTGTTATGATATAGCATAACATACTGTAAATTAAAAGAACCAAATTTTCTAATACCGTGTTCTCTCCCATTGCAAACGCAAAGCACGAGTATAACTGCAATAAGCATTTTATACTTATACGCCAACCCCGTACGAAGGACTGGTACTCCGCTAGTAGCATACTATTGGTTCTTTAATCTACGATAAAGTGCATTTATAAGCCTCAGATGACTAGCTTTTGAAATTAATGCTAAACCACCAAACATAGTCAACAGCCCCAAGGACCTTGGAACCATTTTATTTTCAGCATTCTGAACACTTGGACATGACATGACAAATGGCTGTAAATTGATCTATGTCAAATAGTTTGACGCAAGTGATAAGTACTCGCGCAAGGGATGCCATCAATCACTGTTGCATTAATTACTTTAATTGCGTAAAATCGCTGTATAAATTGGTATGCGTCAACGGCAGTAAAGCACAATCCATTCCACCGCTGTACTGACGCTAACAGAATCTGCTGACTATAGGTAAGGTCATACGTAAATAATATACTTTTTCCAACTTTAACTAATCCAGCGCATTTTGTGTGTTGTTTAGAAATGTTAAACCAACTAAGTTTATTATAATATTAATAATGTATGTTTGATTAATATATCTTTTTTCAGTAGTTATTGTGCATGGTTTGATTGATTTGTCTTGCCTTTAGTTTTGTGCATGGCTTGCTTGGTTTTGTTTGCTGTGTGCTTTCTGATTTCTGTAAAATTTGTTTACAATTGTTTATTGTATTTACGATGCCCATTGATCTGCCTAATGGAAACTAAAGATTTTAATTTTCAATAACAATTTATGGGTTTGCTGACGAATACAACACAAAACTGTAGCTTAACTAATGGACATTGTTTGTAATTTTATTGTAAATCAATCGTTTTCAAATGTGTTTGGTTTTTAAAGCAGTATTTATTATTACTAGTTTATTAAGTATGTACCTTAATTGTATTAAGTATGCATTGAACCCGTTCTACGGACGGAAATATTATACAGTAGTCAGTGGAAACCTTATTATATAGTCAAAAGTGCAATTTGCTTCACGTATAGACGAGAATTATTAAGTCCAAACCTTAAAATGGTAGCCTATAAATATAAAACGTACGGTATAAAATGGTCCAACCCTTATAGCCTATATATATATATATATATATATATATATATATATATATATATTTATATATATATATACTATATAAAATTCAGGGTGCTCAGTTGTACTTATTTACTACAATAATTTAATATATATATATATTATATATGTATATTATATATACATTATATATATATATATATATATATACAATTGTTTGGATAAAGGGCTACTATTATAAATAATAAGGAAAGCATACTAACTCAGTACCCTAAAATTATTTTTATTTTTAAAACTCAATAAAAATAATTTTAAAACAAAATAATTTCAGGGTACTGAGTTTGAACATTTAACATTTCTTTAAAACAATTAAAGAAAAAGTTTTAAAATCGCATTTACATTCTAAAAGAATTATAAACTAAAGAGTGATCCATAGAAATATTAAATTCGTCGGCCACATTAGAAAATGGCACCAATGGTTTAAGATTCAAAACAATAAAAAAAAATCTTAAAAATAAAGGGGAGTGCCCCTTAAGAAGATTTCTGGTCCTCAGCCATTTGTTCACCAATTTCAAAGAGTGGTGTGTTTGGCATCTGAGGACCTCAAAACGAAAATTAAATCGTTCCTGGGCCAGGTCTTACCATGAGATTGAGGTCTCCAGAGCCCAAAAACACAATCTATTCATAATATTACAGTATATTTTTATACGTCCGTTAGCACGATAACTCAAGCAAATCAAAGGTGATCCAATTTCGACGAAATTTGATAAAAAAACGTGAAAGCCTACATATTTTATCCGAACTAGTTTGAAAACCAGCATGTTCGGACTAGGGGGACAAAGGTTTATGGTTTTTATGTGATTAAATTAGTGTTACGCATATTTGACCCATATATCATTAACATTTTGCAATCCCTTTCTAAACTATTTGAGCTTATAAAAGGAAATACTTTAGTATATTCTAGCATTGTAATACGTGTAGCCGTTAGGGAGAAAATTTGAATAAAAAACTGTAAATTTAAAATTTACACGTTATTCTTATGGAAAATAAGTAAACTGTTGTAGTTTGCTTATTTACAAACATATTTTAATCGAATTTGGAAAATTGATTTACTTTATATTAATTTAAAGTATGAATATTTCACAACTACTGTTCAAATGCTGTTATTTAAAAAGGAAATAAATATGACATTTTAAAAGAGATATTTGAGTGAAAATCCAATCAGTCAAAAAGAAATTCGCTCAGTCTGCAGGTTTACTGTAGTGAGGGCATTTATCGTCATTGTCAACGTGCTTCCGGTAATGATTGCAGGATTAAATTGTTTAAAACATTATTTTTACAGGTTCCAAGACGAGAAAGATGGTTAACAGCATCTTATTGTTCGTTCTCGTATTCGCTGGGCAGAGTATTCTTGTTTTGGGTGAATTAAAGGAATACACCCGGACTCCAGAAGAAACTGTCGCCTTGACGGTAAATGCTTTCTATTTTAAAATGTAACACCAACGGACTGAGCATTGCTCACTGCGGTAGATAATATTTTAAAGCTTAATTCAAACACTTCAAAATGTAATTGTACATGCCCTACTGTATTACGAGTGAAAATAAGTGTTACTAGGGGCAAGTAGAGACATAAGTCCCTAAAAAGCTCATATACTTCCAATTATATTTCAAGCAGCAGCTCAGAAAATTGTAAGTTAATCAATTTTAGATCACTTTAGTGAAGGCAGAATTTATCTAAATTATTTGTTGATTAGTAAACAAACTTCACGCCCTATATCAACAGAATATAAAAAGTAGAATAAAAACTAGACCTCGCCCCGTGGTCGAAAACTCTACCAAAAGTATGTGCAGTATTGTCAAACTTCTCTATTTTCACCCCACGCTGTAAATAAAACATGTGATTAGAATTTATTCCATACTAGATTCAAAAATAAGCACAAAAAAGAAACGATAACCAATTCTAGAAACATGCTTGCCTCTTAATGTATGGATTCATGTTTTAAGTAAATAAGGGAACAGCTGATTTTCGGCCCTAGGGCTGCAAAAACCTGCTCGGCCGATGACGATGACAGCAGCTGGCATGGACAGCAATGCGTAGCTTTCGGCCTCCGATAACCGCAAAACAACTAAAAACAGCGCGGTGTGGTGAAAAAAATTATACTGACGGTAATCAGATGTTAAAATAAAATTCACATTGAAACAATTAGTTAATTACCTACTTAGTTATAAAAAGTTGGTCAGCGCCACTGAATCTTTGAAATTAAAATATATTAAAGGCTACAAGGACGTAAGCTCTAAAGGAAATTACCCTTTTAGTTACCATTTGTCCCTCCGCTAGTTCATAAACTTTACAATTATACATCAGTCGTACAGTAGGCTCAATAGTAGAACGGCTGTAAAGGATATGTTACAGATTATCTGTTAAATAATTTATAAATAAAAAGATTTTTTAAAACAAAAGGTTTTTAAACGCATTAAAAAGTAGAAAATAATTTATGAATATGTGGAGAGTATAAATACTTGTAAGATTTAAAACGAAAAACGTGGGGTGCATGCAATTGATTATAATACATTAGTTCAATAGGGGAAGGTAATTGTAAATTATCTATTGCATGCACCGCACGATTTTCGTTTTGAATCTTACAAGTATTTATACTCCACATATTTATAAATTATTTTCTTCTTTTTAATGCGTTTAAAAACTTTTTGTTTTAAAAAAGTTTTTTTTATTTATAAATTATTTTCTACTTTTTAGTTTTTAATGTGTTTGAATGTTAAATCTATTTCAAGCATCTATATCAGATTAAGACAGAGTCATGTGGGAAATCTATGGTTTATTTGATTTTCTTTTCATATAATTATGTATTAGATTGAATGTATGGCCTATCTACTAACTATAAATATATATCAATCTATTTAATTTATTGGCTCCTTTATAGAATCTTACTAATATTATAAATGTGAAAGTTTGTGTGTTTGTTTGTTTGTTTGTTTGAAGTTCAATCACGCAAAAACCATTGGACGGATTGGGCTGAAATTTGGCATGATGATAGCTCACATTCCCGATTAATATATAGGCATATTCTTATATCAAAAATCCTTTCGGGTTCCACCCCAGTGGCTCTGTAGTTCGCCATGTTAACCTTATGAGTATTCATATTTAAAGGGAATTAAGGAATTTAGTCAGCTGTTTCAAATAAAAAATTTGGTTCTTTGATATACAAAAGCATAAAAGGTTAAAAGATTTACCAACAGGGTGCAGCACTATAATTTTTTTGCATTTATTTAAACGAGGTGTTAGCCCGTCCTACGTACGGGAATTCAGTAGTCAGTTAAAAACGTGTACAATTCAGATCAGCTAGTTTACACATATAAAGACAAAGTTTCTTGCAGTTTTAATGTGAAAAATCATCTTGTAAACAAATGTTGTGTGACCAAATATTTTTTCATTCCATCATAGGCCTATACGATATGCATTTTAAATCCGATAATTTTACAATAACACAGCAATTCTGTAATTTTTACGATGTGAAAAGCGTTGAAGTGAGATTTGAAGCCGATTCGCACAGACGCACACTGATTATAAGTAGCCTACATTAGAGAGAGTAATAGTCAATTGAGAAGTGTATAGACCTAGTCAAGGATACCACCTTCCATAGCATACCTGCCTCTTCCATAATTATTATCACCACAATACAACTACTATACACAATTTCCATTAGGTCTGAATAGAAACGACCTAAAATAAAACGATAATATCCAATAAAATTCACAGTACACATAATTTAACTTTGGTGTCCTAACATCAAAACTAATCGTCACACCTATCCTTTATATCAATTTCACTGCATTAATTGCTAAATTAAATGAGTGTAAACAAAGAAAAGTAAAAACAATAACAGTTTGTTTTGAAACAGCTGTTTGGTTCAAATAACATTCATTTAAAAAAAAGAACTGGTCACATGTAGCAGGAATATAAAAGGTAAACACGCTAGTAAAGTTAATGACGTAATTGTCAATGTTTATTATCCATACCGTTATCAGTTCTATCCTTGATAACTACCCACCCTCATTGAATAAATGTACATCGTAATTTCCCATATTAGTAAATTTAAACTACAACATATTCATAGTTGAAATAAAAGTGATATTTTCACGTTTGGGGGCGCTGATATAGATACCCCCAAACGTAACCACAACCGAACACGATTTCATAAAAGGATGGTTTGTCTAATTGCAGTATCCTAGGTCAATGTTTAACGTTGTGTTCAATCTATGTCATCCATCTGTTTATCTTTGTATAAAACCCGGCTGAGGTTGTGGTGGTAATTTAAAATCGTGATTCCTGATTATTCTTGGATCTTCTTATGACATCAATATTTCCGGGCCTAATCCAAACAAAGTTAAAGCAGACAAACATTAATTGTAAACAAAAAGCTTCCATGAAGAATTAAAACATGTAAACAGTAAACATTGTTATTTTTATAATCTTTCCTTGAAAAGTGGAGCAGTATAATAGTTTGCATTTATCCTTTTTATTAAGACTCGTATACAGAGCCTCGATTTGTACTGTGGTTTAATTAATTTTGGTCCAAACTATTTTAAACTGTGGTCTAATTATCTCTACTAATCTGACTTATTTCCTATAATCAATGACAAAATAAGAGTAAATTAAATAACCTCATAATTCCATAGTTTATATTTAACCAGCTTTTAGTCAAAACAAATTATATTGCTCTAAAACAAATCGAAGATTACAAAGATTGCTTTAAAAAATATTTTGAACATCCTAGTATTTTACCATGTATATTTAATTAATCTGTCATCCTCTTACAGAAGAATTGATCGTATCAATGATTAGCATTACACATAGTATAAATAAGTCAACGCTAAGTATGTCTTTACATTTTTATCCAAATGCTGAATTTGTGACACAAAAGCTGAATGTTTACAGCTGTTATGTTAAGCAAATTATTTTATGCCGAAAGCTAGTTTAGAATCTTAGCGTCGGCTGCTAGACTTTTTAAAAATTAAAACTTAATTTCTAAAAAACTGGGTCCCAAAACTAAAATTATGGCTTCGACATTCCCTAGTTCTCAAAATTATCTTTCTTTCAACACAAAAATCATATAAATCCGTAGAGTGGTTGATTCAGAATCGTGAAATAAAAATACACTGTTTCGTTTTAATATTATAGATGTTTTAATTTTCTGTTTATATTTTGTTGTTATTTCGTCACCTACATGGCAAACCGCTGGGCCCATGTTAAAGTTTTCAATTAATTGTTTGTGCTTATTTTTTAGGCTATTTTAATTCATAAAGGGATTCTGCACATCTATAGGCAATTGGGTACTTACGTATTATACGGAGGCCACTTATTTTACAGCGCGCTGCGGCGGTTGGGTTAAGTTGGGTTATCATAAATATGTTTGTACATCTTTCCTAGTTTCGTTATGAATCGAACTATACGAGATGAGTCATAAAAACTTATGATAACCCAACCTAACCTAACCGCCGCAGCGCGCTGTAAAATAAGTGGCCTCCGTATAATACGTAAGTACCGGCAATTGTCTTTCTAAAAGTATGCATAGATTTTCCCTGCGATGAACAGGAGTTGAGAAAAAAGGGTTTCAATAAACATGCTTGTCTATTAATATAAAGGTGGACTGAGTATATGACTACACATACAATTAGACAACACCCTCGACCCAAACCGACTGGCTGGGCAAATTCATGTAACTCCCTTTGAGAAGTTACAATAACCGATTCAAGTTTTCAATCATCTATGTTTATATGAATGATAACATTAAAAATGCCAAAAAATCAAATAAGAAGAAGAATGTAGCCGAACGTCGAACGTCAGCATCGGACGCTGCCGTTGGCTGAAAGCGTCCGTCGTCTGCCGATCTTCCCTATTTTTCATAACGTACAAAAAATAGTCGGACTCGAACGTCCCCGAGTTTTAGAGAGTTTGTAATTAGTCCTTTCGTTCGCCACAATTGTAAAGACTACAATAAATTTGGGAGAACGATTAGCAATACAAATTATTAAGGTTCCCCTGGTATAATAGTTAATCTATATAAAAAATATTTTAGGGGGGTCACGACCCCCTGATCACCCACTGGGACCAAGCGCGAGTACAAACCATTCTCCATGAAACATATTATGTTTATTTGATTATAATGAGTTATTTGATTATAGGCTACCTTAAAGTTTATCATTGATTTTGTATCCTAGGTAGCCAAAATAAGTTTTCAAAGTCTGTGTTAACAAAAACACACTATCATCAAGTTAAGTAATACAGTTTAATTTCGTTTCTAAATTAAATAGTAAGTATGAAACCATTTTTAAGCCGTTTTCAAACAACCAACGTTGATTCTTTTGCATACTGACCAAGATGCAAGGCACGGGTATAGCTGCAAGATCCATAAAACAACATTTAAATCAAATAATAATGTATTACTAAAAAATACAACTACTATTTATTATTTATATCCCAAATTATGACAAAAATTGGTGTCTTACTCTTATTAATAATCAATATGACATTTTAGAATAGTCAAATCGATCTTCTACGATCAGTATTGGAAATACAAATAGGCTGGAAATCTGGAGTCAACACGAATGATGAAGCCCAGGATAAGAATGGAATCAAAACATGTTGGAATGGTAACCAAAAACTAATTAGTGTTCTGGTGCACAACTGTGTCAGGAGGGATTACATGGAGAAAAGAGGCTGGTTGGACTGCGATGGGGTCAAAAATGGACTACTAAACGATATAGCAATACAGGTAATTCAATGTCTAACGTAATTCTAATTAATAATAAATTATTTATGGTAAATGGTGAGGTTCTTAACGCTTAAAGCTGAAATACCGGATGTAGGTTGGCTTTTAATCATTAGGTATAATTGTCTGAGGGAATAAAACGTAGGTGTCTGGTAACGAAAATATTTAAAACAGATACAAGTAGCCTTTAAACACAATAAATGAACAGTTAGAAGCGCATAGCCTGTACAGTAGGCATCAGAGGGATTCAAACGTAGGTGTCTGGTAACGAAAACATATGAAACACGATACAAGTAACCTTTAAACACAATAAATGGACAGTTAGAAGCGTATAGTCTGTACAGTAGTTGTCAGAGGGATTCAAACGTAGGTGTATGGTAACGAAAACATAAAACACGATACAAGTAACCTTTAAACACAATAAATGAACAGTTAGAAGCGTATAGTCTGTACAGTAGTTGTCAGAGAGATTATAACGTAGGTGTATGGTATCGAAAACATATAAAACACGATACAAGTAACCCTTAAACACAATAAATGAACAGTTAGAAGCGTATAGTCTGTACAGTAGTTGTCAGAGGGATTCAAACGTAGGTGTATGGTATCGAAAACATATAAAACACGATACAAGTAACATATAAACACAATAAATGGACAGTTAGAAGCGTATAGTCTGTACAGTAGTTGTCAGAGGGATTCAAACGTAGGTGTATGGTATCGAAAACATATAAAACACGATACAAGTAACATATAAACACAATAAATGAACAGTTAGAAGACTATAGTATGTAGAAGCGTAAACCCCTGTTGCAGCAATCTAAGTACTCGTTAAACTTAAGCTATTTAAATAGGGAATAAATGTGATATTTTTATGGAAACATTTTAACGTAAATTCATTCAGGCAAATGGAAATTCGCTTAGTCTGCAGGTTTGCTGTGTTGGGGGTATTTACTTTTTTAATCGATCATAGTATTACCTTAGCTTTCTCATTATGCTTGCCATATCTTACTGAGTTATTTACGAGACTGGATGATTACTTATCACTTTACAGGAAAGTAAAGTTAAGACCTGGAAGGTAGCGTCGGGTGACTCGACAAACGACAGTCAAGGAAAGTTCGAAACTTATGTAAAGGACACTCTCTCCCAACTCATCGCAACTGCATTCAACAACTGTCCCGGTGGTGTCAATACCGACACAAACGTGGCAATTTTGAATTGACCTGTTATAAACCACAGATCTTAGATGAAAGTGAAGTTATTAAAATTCGCTAACGATTTATTCAGTGTTTATTTACACCTCTACTCATAACTACTTTTTGTGATCTTTACTGATTGCCTGATTTTTGTGTTTGAGCCATAAAAAGAAATTCCAACATTTTTTTGGATGCTCGGTGTTTCAGTTTACCTTCACATTGATGCTCCTACTTTCTTATTTGAAAGATTAGAGCTTCTAGTTAGATCAATAAGAAAAGTTGGAATCCATAAAGAAAGGCATAGTACATAAATCATACATAAATGTATGAATACCATCAATGAAAAGTAAAAAATCTAGAAAAACATGTTTACTTAAAAACTCAACAAGGTTTACTATGTCGACTTAATGCTCTTGTAGTTCTGACACCATGTAAGATAGTATAAAATACTAATTAATGCTTCAAAGTAAAGAATGTGATTTATCTACTAGCAGAATACCCGTGCTTCGCTACGGAAACTTTCAAATTGGTTGACATTTTTAATCAATTAGTGTTTAATTGCCAGATTATCATAAAATCAATCACATTAAATAAACAATAAATTATTTTAATTTTTATATTTCCTTTTAGATTAAAACTGCAGTTAAAAGTTTGTTCGTTATCCATAATATTTTTTGATTATTTACAGAATTTCTTTGTATACAACATTTATTGTTTTCCCAGAAGGTGCTAGCATCACCAGGGCTGAGCTGACCCGTGAATATGCAACGTAAAATTGTTCATGAGAATAACAGTCCTCTCTTAAGCATAGTCCTGCATCCTGTAATCACTAGGGCCTCAATTACATCTTTGTGAAGAGATTTAATTTGGCTAACAATTGGGAGAAACGGTCTCTTTTTGTGGCTCTAGAACGTCGAAGTGCCCGCTAGACAGGGATTGTGTAAATCTGAGTCTTTTCGTGGGATTACGTTCATCACCAAACCCAAACTTGACATATAATTCACCAATCCGATAAACCTATAACACAAATGTGAATATTTGTGAAGCCGCAACCAGCTCACACAACCCACCAAAGGTAAACGGCTTAGACATTTCATAGAAGTATTCCCTGGAATTAAGGTAATTATTCCCGTCACTGCTGTGGGATAAGATTGAGAGGTAGTTCCAGTTCCACACAACATGCTCAATAATTGCTTTGCGCACAGTTAGTGTGTGTAAGGTGAATTATGAATAATAGTGAAGTAAATAAACACACACCATCTCCTCAGATGTGAGCGATTGGGTGGAACGAACTCGCCATTAACATTTAAAACCTCAGTGTCCATAATATGAAACGGTTTAAACAACTACAAAGATATTAACAGAACTATATCATAAGTTCTTAAAAATTAAAATGCAATGAACAACTAGGTATAAGCGCGTCACACAACTTTGGTGGCCATATTGATTACGTCATTAACACCCATAGAGTGCCAGACAAAATTGTGTCCCGGACTTTTTAGACTCGCCTACTCATGTACTATCTAAATCCAAAGGGACGCATTGGTTGCCAGATGTGAAGTTTTTTCAGCTACCACACCCCACTAATATATTTTTAAGTCAATTATCCTTTAAAATAATACAAAATAAGACAATATATTCGGGATGAAAAAAACAGGACAGAAACGTAAACCATTCAATGTTGACTATACAAACAGTTTTATTGTATTAACAGTATAAATTTGTCAAGAGTTATTTACGAATCAGGTCACCTAACTCTAAAATACTAATGAAAATACAATAACTTATTTATTTACACTATTTACAATCTATCTAATACGAGTATTAAACATTGACAACCTTTGCATGAGCATTTGTTTCAATTACGCTGAAAGTGTTAGGGATAGGTCAAAATTACATAAGATATATACATGACATAATGCTGTGTCGTATAAAGTAAAATATTTTTATCGGTTTTCAAACTTAATAGCGTTTGTTGAATACTATACTATGTACAAATCAAAATTTTAACTTAAAGTGATATTTTACAGCTTTGCGATAAACTATTTTTGGTTGGAAACCTGTTGTATTTTCCTTTCAAAAACATGTATCTATATTCTTATTTTCATCTATATATTAATAGGCAAGCATGTTTATTTAAAACCTTTTTTCTCAGCTCGTGTGCATCGTAGGGAAAATCTACGCATACCGTTAGAAAGCTATTTTCCTGTAGGTGTGCAGAAATTACTTCAAAGACAATAAAGTCAGCCAGGTGTGTGTTTAGAACCAAAATAAACACAGAGTGGGTGTAGAATGGAGTGACACATTATGTGAAGCTTTGTAGCCGACTATTATCAGCTGATTCTTTAGCCAGGACCATTTATTTTTGCCCAATGATCAAGGACAGCTGGGTCTAGTTCAAAACCATCAAAAAGCTAATGACTTTTCTCAGGATCGAACCGTCGAACGTTAGGTCTTCAGGCGTGCTCTATGACCACTCAGCGACCCAGCTATGTTTACAAATTGAACTACACTATAGGAGGTAAGTTATCCATATTGAGTGGCAAGAAATTTTACTAAAAACTAAACTTTTAATTGGGATGCAGACATGGAAATCATTAAATTTGTATTTTAAGTAGAACAATAATTGACTTTGTTCAAAGTTAATTTTTTTTAAGAGGTTGGCGGCATCTTTTACCTTGCATTTGCGTCCCCACTAAGGCCTGTGCATGGGAAGTATCCAGCAAAGCAAGGGGTAAGCGGTACGGGACAAGGGTGAACTTTACTGATAAAAATGTACCTACTAGCATTTTTTTTTTTTTTTTTTTTTTTATATAAAGAGGTTGGCGGCCTCTTTTACCTTGCATTTGCCCGTCCACATAGACTACAGATCTGTGCGTGGAACGTATCCAGCAAAGCAAGGGGTGAGCCGGTACGGTACAAAGGTGAACTGTACTGATAAAAGTTAGTGGCAGTGACCAGGATCCGAACCCACGACACTACTGCCTTGGGCCCGAAGTCCGCGACGCTACCAACTGAGCCACCGACTCACCCAGAGTTAGAGTCATTTACCAGAGTTAGATACCTTCTGACCCACCGATCCAACATTATTACTTCTTTGTTTTACCTACTGATAAAACATCATAAAATATTTAATTTCAAAAAACTAGTTGACAAAAGTGCTTGTTACAAGAAAAGAATTACTATAACTACTATACAAGTATTAAACACAGCTAACAAACAAGAATTCAGTTCTCATTACATTTTAAACAGTACAGTTTTGGCATACAAGTAAACCTTAAACTTTAGATTGTAGTAACAAATAACTAAGGATGCTTACCATTCTAAAATATGTACAAAATGTAAAAGGCTGTTGGGAAATGAGAAGTTAAAGTCTTATTTTGAAGTTTGGTAATTACATTTAGTAAAAATGTGTAGTACTAAATACAAACTGTAGTTAGTGATTAATGAAAAATCCAGGAGGCTGATCGAGGAGGTATTTTCTGTAGGAATAGAGCTCGGATAGTTAATCTGAGAAAAATTGAGTCCAGGTACTTGAAGATACATAAAAAGATGATGCAGATTAATACTGAAATTTATCTCTACAATATATATTCTCTCCACACTAGATTTCTCTTCAATCTACTCTTAAAAGTACCACACTACATAAAAAATTGCTTAATGTCAAGTGACCTGGACAATCAAGTAAGCAATCTGATCTCTATAAATTTCACAAAATTCTTATTTTAATGTAGTTCTCAACATAACTGCTTCTTTTTCTTAAACTAAAACTGTTTTTTAGGAAGGGTATTTCACTATGAGCATGTCAAAAATACTAAATATCAGTAACAGTAATTATGACACATTTTTGTAAAACATGATAATATCATACATTGAGAAACCTTTAAGAAAATTTCCTTTTTATCAATTGAGTAAAAACTTTCAAAATCCCCGTCTCAGTTGTTTATGTCAATCATCTTATTTTGTTATTGATATAATTTGTAACTATTCATTTTCACAAAAAGGCCAATTCATTTAGATTTTGCAGACAATTCAACATTTAACAAACTTCAAGAAAAAGGCCTCGAAATTCCTTTTCATTCCATGACCTAAGCTTTTTATCACAAAGTAGCTCACTATAAGGTTGAGCAAAGTCTTCTTGAGTAATATTTTGGCATCACTGCTACCTCAACTTCACGTAGAGTTGGCACTACTGGTTTGGTTTTTGTAGGAAGAGAAGAAGGCAAGAGCTTTCATCAGCTGATAGCTTTTGGATATGGGAATGTTGCTATCGTAGAGTTTCCGGGAGGACTTGCAGTCCACGTAAAACCACCAGTTGCACTTGAGAATGGTTTGATCAAACAACGTTGATTCAGGACAGAGGAAACTCTTCATGACTAGACCGTCGTCGGTAAACGCGCACACGTGGAATACCTGGAAAATCAGAGAAATAGTCAGTAAAAATCATGATGATTTAAAAAAGAAGGTGTAGTGAAATTTAACTGGTTATGTGGTTGTGAAAGTGATAATCTCAAATTTAATGCTATGCCTAAAAGTCTAAAACACTGAATATATTTGTTTGTTTGTTCTTTACAGAACCATTTTTAGTCTCTGATCCCTTGTACACTAACAAGGTAAAACTACCTGACAAATATTCCTATTTTTTGGTTGGGTGACCAGTGGTTTCAAACCTAAAGGTTAGTCTACATCCCAAATAATAACTATTAAACTAGAGTCATGGAGATTTGAAATGAACAAATGGTAGTCTGCTGACAGCACCAAGCGTCCTTGTCAGTGTTTTTATACTTAGCCAAAGTACGTAAACACTACATAAACAATGACGATACCAGATAATTATTGTAGCTGCTTCAAAATAATTTTTTCGTCATACTGCAGCAAAAACATCCGTTTTTAATGCATGTGTTGCGGGTCTTAAGTAGCATTTTTACTCTCTAGGGAGTAAAAATCAATTTAGTCTCTAGGGAGTAAAAATCAGCTGTTGTAAACAGTTATAAATTTTGATTGCGGCAATCGTATCGATCCGAAATTATTTATCGATTGATTTATTAGGTAAGGTTTTAGCCTATTGTTTTCGATTGTT